AAGAAAATTTATTAAAACTTATCTAAATATATCATATTTATATCTATATCTATATAGAAGATGTGATCTTAAAATTATTTGGAATAATATTTAGTTCTGATTAACATATAAAATGAATCAAGTATTCTTTACTATAAAAAAACCTATAATTATACTACCTTTCACTAATGAAAAATTACTAACATGAATATGATGATTTAGAGTTTGTATATTATTATAATAATGATTAATTTTTTAAATATTATTTTGTTTGGAAATATATTAAAATAATATATATTTTTATTTTTTAAATTTATTTTTAAAATATATGAAAATAATAATAAAAAACTTCAAAATAATAAAAAATTCTTTTAATTTTTTTTTAAACTTTTAAAATGAAAAACAAATAGGCTGTTAATGGGTAGATCGGTAGACAAGGGAGTATGCATTATCCAGAAAACCATGTGTTTCCCAAGCCCACAACACAGACCTAGCTAGAAGCCCATAGGCCACCCGCTACCCTATAAACAAACAGCAACTCGGACTCCACCACATGAAAGCGGTGGTCTCCTCTCTTGTATATAAGGTTCTCGTGGCAGTTTATTGGCAGGTTCTGAAAACAACCCTTTCCCAAAGCTAACAAAACAAAAACATGGGACACGGTAATGAACGGAAAAAATCTAACAAAACTTAAGATTCCGTAATAATGTTTTAATCAGTGAGACAGATCTTTGTTGACTTTGGTTTAATTTACCAAATTTCTGTTTCAGGTGATAAAAGTGGTCGACCAAATAAGAAATTCAAATTCACATCAAAGGTGAATAAAAAAGTTCTATTTTCCCCCCTTTAATCTATCTTCAATTTCTTACATATCCGACCTTTTCAATTACTTAATTCTTGCTTTGTGATGCTTACAGGATGATTATAGAAGCTCAGTGGCTGATGATGATGTTTTTTACCCTGAAGAAGCTGGGGATGATTTTCGCGATGGTATTGAGAATCTAGCCTGATTTTTTTTTCAGTGTTGATGATAATGGGTTTATGCCAGTGAATTGAAATCCATCGTTGTTATTGATTTTGAAGGCGGGACAGAAGGAAAAAAGAGGGATTTTAGCAAATTGGAATTGAAGCCCGATCACGCGAACCGCCCATTATGGGCTTGTGCAGATGGGCGAATTTTCCTTGAGACTTTCTCTTCTTTGTATAAGCAAGCTTATGATTTTCTCATTGCCATTGCCGAGCCTGTTTGCAGGTATAGCTTATGACCCATAAAACGCATGTGTACTATTTGATGTTAATTTCATGTGTGATCTGAGATTTTGAGATGTTTGATTATAGGCCCGAGTCAATGCACGAGTACAATCTAACTCCACATTCCTTGTATGCTGCGGTGTCGGTGGGTTTAGAGACTGAAACAATAATTTCAGTTTTGAATAAGTTGTCGAAGACCAAGTTGCCGAAAGAGATGATTGATTTTATACATGCTTCTACTGCTAATTACGGTAAAGTAAAGCTCGTGCTTAAGAAGAATCGGTACTTCATTGAATCCCCATTTCCTGAGGCAAGTTGGTTTTTTGTTTCTGGCTTCCCCCCTCTTTCTCTGGTTAGTGTCATGTATATTTGATATTCGTGTGTTTCTCTTTCTTTGTGGTCTTTATAGGTATTAAAGAAGTTGCTAAAGGATGAAGTTATAGCTAAAGCAAGGATTCAACCCGAGGTCTGTATTCTTAATTTGATTGAATTCAGTATTTTAGGATGAGTTGAAATAGTTGAAGGTTATTATCACACGAATTTCATTGAACTGAATAGTCTCACATGATTTTGGAATAGCTCAGAGTTACTTATTTCATGGATGTGTATGCTTTCATTGTTTCTCTCCAGGTTTCTTAGATTGTAGTAGCATTCCTCCCATTTTCATTGTTGTGCCCTATGAGCTGAATCTTGAAATTATTTATAATTCTACAAACCTGTAGAGTTCACATGGAACTGAGGGATTTACAATTAGCAAAGCTGCGGGGGAAATTGGAACTAGTCATGATGGATTATTGAATGAAGCAGAATTGGCTGCTGCAGCAGAAGAAAAAGAAACTCACTCATTTGAAGTTGACCCTTCACAGGTAGTGCACTGTGTGCATGGTTATGCTGTTTCATTGTTTGAGGTGAATTTGCCAAATTATGTTAATCTTCTGTTGTCTCTCCTTCTGACTTGTCTCTCCTTCTGACAGGTTGAAAATGTTAAGCAGCGGTGCTTGCCAAATGCTTTAAATTATCCAATGTTGGAGGAGTATGATTTCAGAAATGACACTGTAAATAACTTTTACCCCCCTCCTGTAGAGAATGTTTAGCATGGAAATAGCATACAGTAGATATCAAAATGAATTCATGACTAGATTAGTAGTGGTCTTGTTGGAAAATGTGAATAATTGGGGATGCTGTTTGTGGAAGCTCTGCAACAACTTTACAGAATCAGTTCTTTTTTGAGCATGCAAATTGAGTTTTCAACTGTAGCTAATGCTCTTTTGATGCTGCAGGTCAACCCTGACCTGAATATGGAATTAAAGCCTCATGCACAACCACGACCATATCAAGAGAAAAGCCTCAGTAAAATGTTTGGAAATGGTAAAATGATCTTGCAATTAAATTGTACTTTGCTGAATCCAACTTTAAGGCGTGTTTATTGTTCTCCGATTTATGTTCTCTTAATAGGATATAAAACACTTAAGCGTGGATTGACTGAACCATGTGGTTGATATTTCAGGCAGAGCAAGATCTGGCATTATTGTTCTTCCATGTGGAGCTGGAAAGTCTCTAGTTGGTGTTTCTGCAGCTTGTCGAATAAAGAAAAGTTGCCTCTGTTTAGCAACAAATGCTGTTTCTGTTGATCAATGGGCCTTTCAATTCTCGCTCTGGTCAGACATTTCACAGGATCAAATTTGTCGTTTTACATCTGACAGCAAAGAACGATTCAAGGGAAATGCTGGGGTTGTGGTGACAACATATAACATGGTTGCTTTTGGTGGAAAACGATCAGAAGAATCTGAAAAGATTATTGAAGAAATAAGAAATAGGGAGTGGGGACTTCTTCTAATGGATGAGGTAAGTGTGCAGAGAGTATGTTGTCAACTTCTGTACACATTTGGGCTGAAATACATCTTTCTTTGTTTAGGTCCATGTCGTTCCTGCTCATATGTTTCGTAAAGTTATCAGCATCACTAAATCTCATTGCAAACTTGGGCTTACTGGTATGTTCTTTCAGTTGCATCTCTCTCATTCAGCCTTTGTCTTATATTGACTAGCAAGTCTAACTGGTTTATCCAACAACAGCAACACTTGTGAGAGAGGATGAAAGGATTACCGATCTGAACTTCCTTATTGGTCCTAAACTATATGAAGCAAACTGGTTGGATCTAGTAAAAGGGGGTTTCATTGCAAATGTGCAGTGTGCTGAAGTATGGTGCCCAATGACGAAAGAGTTTTTTGCTGAGTATCTAAAGAAAGAAAATTCAAAGAAGAAGCAGGTTTGCTAGTCAATTGCTACTTATACACTGTGCTTCTCTTTGGCCAATGTTCTTTTCCGCTGACATTTTAATGACTCTCTTACAATTTCAGGCACTTTATGTGATGAATCCTAACAAATTCAGGGCATGCGAATTTCTTATAAGATTTCATGAAGAGCAGCGCCGTGATAAGATAATTGTCTTTGCTGATAATCTTTTTGCACTCACAGAGTATGCAATGAAACTTCACAAGCCTATGATCTATGGTGCAACCAGGTGATTTATTTGCACAATTGCTGTAAAAGCTAGCTTCAACTCTACATGTTTCATATTATTTACCGCGAACATGTTGTGCGATATGCAGCCATGCTGAGAGGACAAAAATTCTCCATGCGTTCAAAACTAGTAGTGAAGTAAATACTGTCTTCTTGTCTAAGGTATCCAGCTTTAACTATTGCATCATTTCACCAAACAGTCATTCAAGTAAGGTTGGTTTGTCTAGCCTGTACAATTTTCTCCAAGTATTTGCCCTTGGTCATTTAGTGGGGAAAAAAGAAGAAATAAAAGTGGTTTTGCATTAAAGCAGATATGAATTAATGAGTTCTTATTTGGTCTTGTCCTCTATCCATATGTAATTACTGATTTTACTGTCATTTGGGTGGATGCTAGAGACTTGCTTGTGGAAACTATTTACTGCTGAGAACTGAGTGTCAATAAGAACTGAGCAACTTATCCTGATTGATTTTATTTCATTTACAGGTTGGTGATAACTCGATTGATATTCCCGAGGCAAATGTGATAATCCAGATATCATCACATGCTGGTTCAAGAAGACAAGAAGCTCAACGATTGGGTCGTATTCTGAGAGCAAAGGTTGGTTATGCAGTTTCTTCTTCTTTTCTTGGATTCAGCTGGGTTGATTTACAACCTTTTGGAAGATTTTGCACCATGTAGATTTAAACACTGGTTTTACTGAGTGTAATCATGTACCTGATTGAAGAATGATTAGTTTTTGACGTAGGGTGGGAAAGAGAAATCTAAAAAAACAGCAAAGAACAGTAAAATAATGGCAATAACTAGGAGAAAGTTGAAGCTGGAACAAGAGATAGAGTTTTAGCATCTGTAGAGAAACCTCTAAAGCATAAATTGCTTGATAAAAAGTATAACATCTCTGTAAAAGAGCCAAGGCAGCCTTATTTATACTACTTCTAGGCCTATATCCCAATCCTTATTGGAGAAGGAATCACTATTAAAAGCTATATTACTAGTAGAGAAAAAAGAATCAAAGATTCCAAGGATCGGTAAACTAAATGAGAAAGCCAAAACAATAAGAAAAACTAAACAAGTTGCTCCCGCATTAGTTTTAACTTCTACTTCATTGAAAACTGTTTCTGTGGCCATGACTCAAGCCATAACTGATTTGATCTGTGAGATCTAGCTAATTTTTAGCATCTTGTGGTTCATTCACGTGTGGGTTGTTTTGAAATAATGATTTATGCAATTTAGGCCTTTGTTATCAGAAAGAAACCATGCACACACAGATTTCTGTTTCTTAGTGATTATAACCAACCAACTGAAGGTTGTTTTAATTGTCGTGATGCTGCTTCCTCCCTAAGTCTCCTATCCATAATGTCTTGAAATGTGTTTTGTGTCCATTGACAGGGTAAACTTCAAGATAGAATGGCAGGAGGCAAAGAAGAGTATAATGCTTTCTTCTATTCTCTTGTATCTACTGATACACAGGTAAGCACTGATTTTCTATATTCTAAACTTCTGAAATCTGAATATTCCTAACCACAGATGATTGATGCTGACAGTAGTTGGAGAAGTATATCTTACCTAAGATGTTCTTTTTGCTGTTAAGGAAAACAAAGAGTGTAAGAATTGGAGTACAAGGCGTCCTCCAAATTGGAAATAAATTTTATGGAAAATTATTTACACTGTTGCTGAATATTAGCTTAGAAGCCACCAGAAAGTTCTTCCTTGACAGGGCTCATGCCCCTCCAGATTATTCATGTTTTTGGTCAAGCTTGATACCCTAAATAGTTCTCTGCGTGTGCAGGAGATGTACTATTCAACCAAAAGACAACAGTTTCTGATTGATCAAGGTTATAGCTTTAAGGTAAATATTCTTATGTGATATTCTTTCTCGAAAGGAAAATCTAGTTGAAACCTTTTCATTTTGACTGTGAATTGGGAAATGTGCACAGCATTACTGTTATACATGTTAAGTATTTGTTATAGATGTTTCATATCTGGCATGTAGTATGCTGCAATTTGAGATGACATATTTGAAGCAAATGTTTGACATGCTCACAATTGAATGCCAATGTGCTTGTACAGGGATCTAGACATGATTCAAACGCCCCTTCCCTTTCTATGGGTGTAACTTGTTGACAACTTTTACATGCTATGCAGTAGTTGCGCAACTCTGCTTTGCATGTGGTTGCAATTGGAATCTACCTTGGTTGAATTTTTTCTTTTTAAAATAAGGCTTTATTTTTGTAGCCTAGGTTTGCATTAAACTTAAAACTGATATGATGCTGCACGTTTTGTTTTGTATTGGCTATCATACATATAGATATCAGTATTTGTGTAGTTGACTTCTGACGGATATACCTTTGACAGGTGATAACAAGCTTGCCTCCAGCTGATTCAGGAGCTGATTTGAGCTATCACAGTCTTGAGGATCAATTGGGACTTCTTGCGAAGGTATTTCTCTTTTAGTTTTGACTGTTTGACTTTTTGATTGATCATTTGATTTTTGAATCCAATTTTTGACTGTTTGACTCATCAGGTTTTGAGTGCTGGAGATGATGCTGTTGGTTTAGAACAGCTAGACGAGGATGCAGATGACATAGCTCTTCACAAAACCCGTCGCTATATGGGATCCATGAGTGCCATGTCAGGTGCAAACGGGATGGTTTATATGGAATACAGGTACGCTGCCTCATTGTTCTGTGGCTCCGCTGTATTTTCTCTCTTGTACAAAGTATAAAGGGCGTTCTGTGACCTTCCTTGTAAATGTTGTCGTTTTCTTCACTTGTCTGCAGTACTGGGCAGAAGGGTGGGAAGGGCCAGATAAAGGGTAAGCCCAAGGACCCATCCAAGCGGCATTATTTGTTCAAAAGGCGCTTTGGCTGAGATAGCAACTGTACGGATGCCAGTTATCGGTGACTTTGTTGCATCATCTAAGGTTTTACCAAGAGAAGGGAAAGTTGCAAGGAGCTCTAATTTACAACTTTATTGGTCGTTACACGACTTTTTTATATGTGATGTTGATTTGAGATGAACATGCCATTGCAAGAGCTAGTGGTCATGGTCTACCTTTCGAAAGTCAGTTTTTGTTTGTTTATGAAGCCCTCTTTCTGGTTGGCATACCGTGCAAGTGGCGAGATTCCCTCTTCTTTTTTGTTCTTTAATCGGAATGAGTCAGTTACTTCTTCGAAAGCAAAGGATTTCTTACAACCTGGTTGTTTAATTAAACTGTGTGAAGGATAAGAAGACATTTATGATGCTTCTCGGAGATATATTGTAATATAGTAAATGTAATTTACCTTGAAAGATGCACGATATCCTTTCTATTATAAAGAACTTTTGTGCTTGCGATGCAACTTCTGAGTGCTTTGATATGGTTGTAATTTAAGTACATTTCATACTGAACTTTCGACACAGATCACTTAAAGTGTGGTTTGCTTCGTCTATAAGTGAAGACTGGTTCTTCTGACCTGCGTCATGTTGTCGGATCATTTTTTCTTACTTTAAAAAAATGTGAAGACATTATAATGTAAAAAAATCAGATGCAATATTTTTTAAATACTTAAATGATTACGGGTTTTTTTATGACATTTATTTTGTAAATCACTGCTCAAAACTACATATTTTAGGGTATGAGATGGTAAAAATATCACACGAAACTCTTATCGAAATAAATTAAAAAATCTAACTTTAATTAATTAAATATTAAAAGTTAAAAATAAAAAAAAAAATTTAAAGAAAAAAACTAACAACATATAATGATAATCGGCTACAGGGTGGGCTAGAACAAATTTTTCTGAATACAAATTGAAAATTTAAACGTTGTTTCCACTGTTTCTTCTCTACCCCAAATCGAAATTTTCACCTGCCACCGAGCTTCTTTTTTCATCATCCTTGTCCTTTCTCCTCCCATGGAGTAACGAAAGAGACGAAACAAATGAACTTCCTTTCTGTCGGGGGCCTTTTTCTTTTTCTTTTTTTAAATTATGACATAATATTTTTATTATATTATTGACTTAATCTTTAAGATTTATAAAAATCAATTTGTTTAGTTAGAAATTCCAATGCTAATAGAATTATATTAATCAGTTGTCTAAAATTATAATTTTAATGTTTATTTAAAATTTAGAGATATAAAATTTTAGAAATTAATTAAGGAACTCTAGTTTTTATTTACATTATATTGTGTAACTTTCTTTCTTTTTGCCGCATCTCAAAATTTCTTGGTATTTGATATATATTTTTTATTAATATAAGTGTTTGGATCAGTTTATATATATTTTAATTAATTTTATAAATTTTAAAATTAATAAATATGTAAGCTTTTGGTAGCATTGAGATTTGTAAAACTTAAATTGATAATTTTTAAAAAATAAATTTAAAATCTGATCAATTTAATTATATTTTATATAATTAAATATTTTATATTTTATTAGTTAAGTACGTAGAAAAAAGTTTGTTAATGGGTGAAAAGCATGTACAATGGAAGCTAGGATATTAACTTTCATCTTCTCTCTCCCATTTTCGCTCTCCATTGCGTTTGAGATCATGGGCACCTTTGTGTAGATATATTCCATCGATCTTCAAATGAGAGTCTAGAATTTGTGACATTCAAGAGACTAGGCGAAAATCCCCTTTCCTTTTAGTTGTTCAGAGTTTGGAGGCTAACAATTACTATCTTATGAATATGGCATGTACTAAATTGATTAGTTACACGCAGCATGTTGAGAATATAATATTATATTTAATTAATAAATACAGAGTAAAATTAAAGTTGATAAAACAAAAATATTTTGTAAATAAAATTATAAAATTATTATAATTATATAATTTTTATTATATCAAAACATTGTTATTAAATGTTTATGAGCTATATTCTATTAATATTTAATATTAATTATAGTTATTGAGATTTATACATATTATGTTTATTTTTTTATTAAAAAAAAGTTTTTTTTTTAATAAATTGATATATAAGAAATACTTGAAATTAATATATAGGTTCTAGTCAAATAACATGTACAGTACTAAACTGATCTGCAATAAAATTTTATATGGAGAGATTATCCATGTTTATGGAAAGACTTGAGATAATTGATATATAAAAAAGACTCACGTGATAGTTGTATAAGTGATTTTTAAACTTGAGATCATCGAGTTATCTTATATAATGAGTGTTATGCTTTGATCATGATTACACATTGTTCTAATCAAGAGTAATAAATGAACAAATATTAGATATAACATAAACTATATGAAGATATTTGAGTAATCAACGGATGATTTATCACTATAGGTGAATTAGAAAAGTTTTTATATATTCTCAAATAGTATTGAATTTAAAATTCTTTTTTAAGAGGGAATGAGATTTGAAAAGTATTTCAAATTTTATTTGAATAATCAATTATTATAATGTTGAGAACTAAAATTATTTGACAAAACAGACATACTTTATACTATAATATCTAAATCAAAATATTATTAATGAAGGAATAATAATTACACTGAAAAACTAGTTATTCAAATGTTAAACTAAATCACTTATGACTTTCCTTATATTTAAAGGATTATGACAGGTTGACAAATATTGTGTTTGATTTTCAAATATAAATCAATTAATTATTGAATTGATAGTAAATTAAATTATTTAATATATTTATTTTTTATTTTTATTTAAAATTATGATTTGTATTTAAGCGAAATTATTAGAGAGCCTAATAAGTCACTCATACAAGAATCATTAATTAGAAATTAAAATAGAATAATTAGTTAAGTATGACTTGATCAGAAATAAATTTTAGAAATCAAAGATTATAATGTAATTCATACAGGGAATTATAATTTTAGATCTAAAAATAATTAAGGACTCAATTAAATAAATTTTAGCTTGCTAAAATCACATGTACTTGATCTTAGAGCGTAGCTGAATCCAAGGATATCAGACCTAAAAATAAGTTAGATCTATGATATCTAAGCTTAGTATTATGCCAAACTTAAATATATTAAGTTTATTATCTTGTCTTTAATCCTTTAAATACATACTTTAAATAAAAATAATATATACAAAATATGCTCATCCATTAAAAACTATTTTAGACATCATCTTCCTGTATAGATGTAGAACACAAGCTGCTAATACTTACGCCACCAAAATTGACTATTACTGTAGTTTGTCTACCACGAGTCCATTTGAAGCCATGCTAATATGCACCCACAAAAGTTCCCAATACTAATGTTTGAGTTTGCTCAAGTTGTGCTGGCATTGAATTCAAGTTGTCCGGAGGCACATTCGTGAAGCATGGAAACTACTTTAGCCGTCACTATCTTGAAGTAGGTAGGAAACCCCATAAAAACGCACTTTTGAGAAAAAAGAGAGGAGAGCTGGTGGATGCCTTTATGGATTGTTCACAGGTTTGAGAATTTTACTATTACCCAGTCAGGGACTTGAGCGCATTTGACTGCTTTTGAGACATTCCTTTTGCATTGCCTGGCTTGCACTTTGATGACCGCATGTTTTTTCACTGCACATAGAGACTCCTTACATCTATTGGCTATTGCATAGAGAAAGTAGAGAAGGAAAGGAAAAGGCCACTTCCTCTTCAAGCCAAAGGTTCAATTCAACAAGCAACTAAGTTACCGTAGAAAACTGGTATTATCAAATTGTGGAGGCAACTAAATTCGATAATGATAAAGCATGTATATTCTAAATTTCATTACAATTTATTCCGGTAATCCTTTTCTATTTGGAATTCTACCTGATTTTTTGTTTTTGATCATATTCACTTAAGTACACTACCCTATTTAATAGTTTTACCAATAAAAATTTATAATTTATGTTGGTATTTATACTTATAGTCTATTGGCACGTACATCACCAACAAATTCACGGATAAAAATAGCTCATTGTAAAAACTCTCTATGGTAATTTATGGTTTATTAATAATAAATATACTAATGGATTTATAAACATACAAAATGCCCCAAAAAATAATTATTCATTTTATTCTGTTGGTATCTCCATTTGTAAATTTAACATGTTATCGACAGGAAAACCATATATAATGTAATTGTTGTTTTTATTTGTCCATCAATATATTTATCTGTAAATATAACATATCATCGATATATTATTATCTGTAATTCTATCGATGAGTTAACAATGATATTTGTAATAATTCCTTTTCATTTCTCTTTGGAATATATCAACGAAATTGTTACATTGATAATCTTGTTAGAAATATTTTATTTTTTTAATTAAAATAGAACAATAAAATTAAAAAAAATAAAATTCAAAAAAATAATAAAAAATTATTACAAGAACAACTAAAATTCAAAAAAATTATTTCTAAGTGGTAATATCTTTAATCCTAAATTAACAAAAAAATATTCTAAATGGAATAAATACAAAGTAATAATTAAAATTATTCCTACACATTTAATTGAAATTCAAAAACAAATTTGGAAAACAAATAACTAAAATTCAGTAAAATAATGCAAAATTATTTCAATAACAACTACAATTCAACACATTTATTAATTCATAAAATTATTAAGAACATAAAATTAAAAAAAATAATGATAAAAATTAAAAAATAATGCAAGAAAAACACAAAAAAAGGAAGAAAAAGGAATGAGAAATTTTTACCTTAATGGTGTGCTTAATTTCAGCTGATAATTTAAAAAAAAAGAGAGATTGTTAATAAAATAAAAAAAGAAAAATAAAGAAAGACAATATACCTTAAGATGAATAGAAAAGAGAATGCATGATTTTAGTTGAAAAGGAAAGAGAGAAGAAAAAAGAAAGAGAGAGAAATGACTTTGTGAGAGAAGAAGAAAGATGAAGATGACACCTCGTCTGTTTTGATTCTGGTTTTTAATTTAATTTTATTTATGTAATTATCAACGATGATTTTATTTGTAAAGTCGAATGAAAATTCTTAACTTGCACAAAAACTTTTAGAAAGCCTACTAAATATTATCGATGACTTTTTATTCCATTAGTGATGCCATTGAAAAAAATGAACAATTAAAAGAATATTAATTATCAGCATATTGAGAAGTGAATAATTATCATAATCACTAGAATATACCGACCAACATATTTTATCGTATATGTGTATTTAATGAATACCAGGAAGAAGGGGAACAATTCTCAGTCACTAAAATGTACTGATTGATATATTTTATTGATATACCCATATGTCATGTACAGTTTATTAGTATTTCCATCAGTATAAAATAATGTCTTATACCAAATTATATTTGTATTTTCTATATATTCATCATGCAAAGACTTAAATTCATAGCTTCACACACAACATAATAACACCGATTCACATTATAATAATAAAATAAA